ATTCCAAGTTTTCATTTTATCCTTTATTACCAGAACTCTGGTCCATTATCCTCCATTTGGATACAAACTGCACGTTAGCTCTATGCCCCAAATTTTCCACCATTTATTTCATTTTATATCCCGTCCCCCTGGAGTTGCCACCGGACCTATAATTCTTTTAATCAACTAGTACTACTGATTGAGTGAATACAAAATGTCACATATGACGCCTCAGATCGCGTCTCTTGCAGACTTCTATTTAATCTACCGAAGAGATTAATCATCTATACTCGGAGTTGGCTTATATGGTCAGTCTATCGATTAACCATGCCTTATAAACTGCGCTTTTATAAACTATTATATTTGTCTGAAACCGTCCGAGGTAAAAGCTTTCTGAAGAGTCTAAACCTCGAAGCCAGCATTGCAAGAAAAATCAAGCCAACGCTTCCCTGCTAATCACAAAGCACTTGACGAGAGGAGATCCTAACCCCAGAGATCTTTTCCCCTCTTTTAATAGACGAGGCAGTTCACTCTGCCGCCTTGCACCCAAAAGCTGCCAGCCTGTGGCGTCAATCGTAGCAAATACACAAATTCCCAGCTACTTATATTCTGTACTTCCTTCTCGACCCAAGATCGTCTAACGAACGCCGACTAATATTAACTCTTCTGCACTTAGGAGATATCGTGCAGAGCCTTTGTTATGTCCAATTTTCTCCAACCAAATAAGCCCGTCATGCAGAGATTGGCAATCTTTTCACTAAATTTCCTCTTAGGCTCCATCTTTTTAAATGACTGGATTTGTATGATAATACATGATCCCTATATTAGACCTAGCTCTACTAAGACCAAGTTACTTCGTATTCCAATATACACACTATTTTCTTAGGTATCAGTGCCAATCAGAAAGATTCAGAGTCAATACAGCATTATTTGCTGTCCAAGAATAGGGAATCCCTTTGGGGCTCACAGAAATGGGTAACGTAGATAGACAGATGTGTAAGTTCAAAGAATAAAGTCCTTATCGACATCATAGCCATTTCCGAAATCCAAGTGAATATTCGAAATCGTGATAATTTGATAAGTTTCACGCCATCTTAAAAGTAATGAATAAATGCCCCTGTTTCGTCCCTCTAAACAATAAAATAATAAGGCTAGTATATCAGAGCGCCCAAGTTTTAAACTTTAATTATATTTTACAATAAACAAGGCTGCATGATATAAAATTCATGAGACACTAATTTGAAACAGTCTCCAGATCAAAAATAGGCGAACCAAAAAATCCCTTGTAATATCCTTCACGAATCTTTTTGGAGAGGGAGCAAATAGGAAGCCCTACAACGGTAAAGTAGTCCCCATTGAGAGATTCTATCAGGCTTGACCCGGTGTCTTGGATTCCATAGGCTCCAGCTTTGTCCCTAAAGCAAAACAGAATGGAATATAAAAACAAATATGAATATGAATTTATTAAGGGGCCAAACTGATACTTCGAAATGTTAGGCACACAGTACGCTATTAACGATTTTAGGGCAAATATAAAGATAATAAATAATTTAGAGGGGCGTTTAAGTATGAATAGATGATACGGCTTTTGAGATTAAG